CACGAGAGCTGAGTAGAGGGGCAGAATCACTTCCCTCGACCTGCTGGCCACAATTCTTTTGATACAGCCCAGGATACGGTTGGCTTCCTGGGCTGCCAGCACACGGTGCCGGCTCATGTTGAGCTTCTCATCCACCAGCACCCCCAAGTCCTTCTCCTCAGGGCTGCTCTCCATCCATTCTCCACCCAGCCTGTACTTGTGCTTGGGATTGTCTTGACCCACGTGCAGGACCTTGCACTTGGCCTTGTTGAACTTCATGAGGTTCTCAGAGGGAGGAGTTGGTGGTCAGCTGCAGATCAACCGTGTGAAAATGCCAGCGTTCCCTTTTAAATGATTATCAAGGATTCTGAAAGCGGAGAAGTGAGTTGGTTGTACCGGGTGCAGCTTGTGGGCAACTCTGTGTTTGAGAGCGAATTCCAGATGCACAGTGCTGTTATACAGGCCAGCTGCAAACCTCAGTGGAGTTCTGGTGTGACTGGGATGTTGGGAGCTGCATGAGCTAGTGAAACATAGCTTGGGACAAGCTGCATTAATTAAAAATAGGGACTGGGTAACTTTATACTGAAAGATTGAACAAAGGAAAGGAGAAATGAGAGGAACTGGTACAGGGCTGTGAGGTGGGTGGCCGTGGAGCATCCAGCATTCTTTAAAAGCTGATGTTTTTTTTGAACTGTAGCCATTACACAGAACTCTGGACAGGAAGGAGATGCATCTTGGCTGCCGTCGTACCCCTCCCAGAGGTTTGGTCCTGACGGGACTGGGGCTGTCTCCACTGGTGTTACTTGTGTCTTTGTGATCGGGTGAGCCTCCCCCAGCTCCAGCCATGCCCGCTGTGAGCCGTGCCCCCTTTTGAAGTGGTGCAGCGAGGTTTGTCCAGTGCGAGGGGGTCTCTCTCACAGGGCAGGCATCTCCAGCCACCAGACAAGACGCTTGCAGCTGCTTGTGGTACCCTTTTGGCTACAGCCCTCGTGGGTGGCGAGGCCAGTGTGTAATCGCAGCTGTGTGTTGCCTGTTGTACAGTTTATGGGCCAGCAAAGGTTGTCTTTGTTAAAGTCTGCCGTAATTCTAGTCTTCTGCCTTTTTTTTTTACCGTGGAGCCCTTCAGAATTTGAACTAATGATTCTTTCAGAGGCCGTTTGCTTTGTTAGTCTGCTCGCCCGTGAAGAAACGACCCTCTGCTTTTTCCCTGCCTCAGAAGGTGGCACTTCATCATACCTGAAGGTCTGGAAGAGACGCAGGGATGTTCCAATAGAGCAGTTGCAAGACCTTGACTGTCAGTTATTGATTTGTTTCCAGCAGCAGCTGGCTGGGTTCGTGTGGGAAGGGTTGTAGGAGAGTCTGTTCTTGCTTTCTAGGATGAAATGTGTGGTACTTGGAGTTAGAATAAAACGGTTTTCTCTTCTCGAGGGGAGGTTGCTGGTGGGTCCAGTTTCCTGGATGTGTTTTGGAAGAGCAGAGCAGGAGAGTGCAGGGAGCAGGAGAGTGCAGGGAGCAGGAGAGTGCAGGGAGCAGGAGAGTGCAGGGAGCAGGAGAACACACCACGTTTGTTGTCCCTCTGTTAGAACGGGTGGGTGCGTGGTAGGGTGTGAGTGGAGCTTGTCAGCTCCATGACAGCTCACCTCGTCCTTCTGTGTTTTTCTGCCCACCAAGAACTGGAACGATCAGGACCACCGTGCCTTCGTGCAGAGCCACCTCTCAGATATGCTGGAACTGCTGCTGGAGCCGGAGCAGCTCAGTGCCTCCTCCCATTCCACCGGCGGCAGCTTGGTGTCCTACGAAGCTGTCTGTGCCCTCAGCTTCCTGATTGAAGGGACCGTGGCCAAATCCAGGACGGTCCGTCCTCTGCACGAGCTCGCCCTCTGGCAGCCCTGTCACGGGCAGAACGGCTACTCCAAGCTCTCCAAAGCCTTCTCTTTCCTCAAGCTAGAGAGCTGGCTGCGGGCTTGCCTGGTGACGAACCCTTTTGGAATGACTGCCTGCCTCAAGTCCGGGAAGAAGCTCGCGTGGGCACAGCAAGGTAGCTGCAGGCCTTGCCTTTATTTTTAGAAATGACTTTCCAGTCTCAGCTCGGCTTGCTGACCAGGAATCTGGCAGTGGTGTGGGAACTCGCCTCCTTTTCCTCCTGCTGCCAGGGGAGATGGGGAAAGCGACAGCTTAGAGGCGAGTCTGGAGGGCTAGAGGGTGCTGGGTGACATCTGTTGTGTTTTTCCAGTCCTTGCATCACTTTTTTGAGCAAACATTAATGAGTTTATTTCCAAAGACCGCTCTGAGTGATGCTGGTATAGCTATTCTCATTATTCATAGATTTCTAGGTTGGAAAAGACCTTAGAGATCATCGAGTCCACGCCGGTATCGCTATTCTCATTATTCAAGTCCTGCTGGACACAGAAGAGATGATGTGATGTGTTGGTGGCGAAGCTGGGAGCTGGTCTGGGTTTCCTTGCCTTCATCTGCGTTCCCTCACCTGCTGGGACGTGGCAGTGGAGCGAAGGCACCTTCCACCTTAGGAGAAACAAATTTAGATGGATGTTTTGTTTCTCTGACTGCACAGTCGTAAGAGAGGCAGTGTGGTAGGTGGGACAGTCAGGTCACTCGAGGATTGTACTGCAGAGGGAGCATTTCACTGTTTTAAAACATTTAATTCCTGCTTTCAACAACGTTAGACTTGCCCTAGGGATCTTCCTGCCAAGCCAAGTCTTGTGTTCAGGAACAGACCTCTGGAAATGGAGATACCTCCAATGAATAGAGCAGGTCAGAGCTGTCCGGAGATCATGGGAGGCTTTGACTGCCTCTGAATAATCTCAAAGTGGTTTTGGTCTTTCAGTGTGCCTTGACTTGTAGAGCTTCTGACTGCTCCGTACTGCGAACTTGGATGGTGCGACTGGTGCGTGAAGTGATGCAGTTTGGTGGTGGTACTGTCCTTGAAGTTTTGGGCTGGTTATTTTCTTAAGGAATTACTGAGTGATGTGAACAGTGAACTGTCATGTCTGTGTCTCTGTAGGAATTGTGTAGCCTTTTTGTGCTTTTTTTTTTTCTATTTTAAATGCATTGATTAACTTTGTTTTCCAGTTGAAGGAACAACCAGGAGGGCAAAGATTGCCTGCAACTCTCGTGTGGTGCCCGAGGTGTTCCCCATGGTGATCATGAGCCAAGTGTACAAGCAGACCCTGGCCAAGAGCTCAGACACCCTGGTGGGCGCTCACATAAGAATTCATCGCTGCAACGAGTCCTTCATTTACCTCCTCTCTCCGCTCCGGTGAGTTTTTGTTTCCCTGAGGCACAGCTAGGTGTCTTCTCAGCGAGTTTGTTCAAGTGCCAAGTTCTTGTTAGAGGGACTAAGCGGTCAAAAAGTCCTGATTCTGCCCTGTCCTGCTCACTGTGTCCTCGCTCTCTTGTTCTTTCACAGATCTGTGACCATCGAGAAGTGCCGGAATAGCACATTTGTCTTTGGCCCTGTGGAGGCCTCTGTTCACGTCCACAGCTGTGACAACGTCAAGGTCATCGTGGTTTGCCATCGGTTGTGCCTTTCCTCCACCACTGGCTGCACTTTTCACATTCTCACACCCACCCAGCCCCTCATCCTCTCAGGGAACCAAGGAATCAGCTTTGCCCCTTTCCACACCCACTATCCGATGCTTGAAGACCACATGGCTCAGGTGGGCTTGGCCACTCTGCCAAACTACTGGGACAGCCCCATGCTGGTGTGCAAGGAGAGTGGTGACACGGAGATCTTCCGCCTCCTGCCAACCTCGGACTTCTACACCTTCGTGATTCCTTTTGAGATGGAAGGAGACACCACGGAGACGCCGGGTGGGCTTCCCCAAGCGTATCAGAAGGCGCTGAGCCAGCGAGAGCAGAAGGTGCAGATCTGGCAGAAAACTGTGAAGGAGGCAGGCCTGACCAAGTGAGTGCTCCATCCCAGCGGGAACGTGTGAGCTGTGTTGAAGCTCAGCTCAGCTCAGACGTGCAAACAGAAGATTCGTTTGTTGTGGTTCAACAAAACCACTTTAGTAACGGGTTGCTTTGCTTGAGCCGTGTCTTGCATCGTTTTTAGGGCATTAGGAATCAGCCATCTTGGGATCCTGGTCTTTGGTGTTGTTGCAGTGAGAAGAATAACGCTCACGATTGTGACTTGGAAGGTGTGCTTTGTCATGATTGTGTTTTCCTAGCTGGTGAGACTCGAGGAAAAGCGTGCCTAGATACTGCTGAGGAGAGGGATCCGCCCTGGCAGTAGGAACTGAGAACTTCTCTCACGCTGGGTACTGCCTCTCTGCTCTCTCTGTTCTGCTTCCAGTGTCGCGTGCTGCCTTGGGTGAGATCTGGGCACATACCCTGAACAACAACTCAACTAGTTATTGGCCTGCAGCTGGTTGGTGGTCACTCTTAGCTCAACCTTTACAGAGAGATTGAAGCTTTAAAATACTGTCCCATCTGTTGTCGAGGTGAGCTGAGAACGTGCACGTGGACCATTACCGTAGATCACCTCGTGGACAGTAGCTTTTAAAATCCTCTTTATCAGATGGTGTGGGATCCTCTGCCCAGCTTTTGCCGTGCTAGCTAGGCCTGTCCTAGCCCACCTTGTGTTCTGATGCACGTTTGTTTGCTTTCTCAGCACCTGTAGCAGAGTTCTGAAAAGGTTCACCTCGCTTCCTTTGTCAACGTGCTTCTGCAGCCAGCCAGGTCGGGCAGGGGTACAAACCTGCTGCCTTCACCTTAGCTGCTTGTATCTTACTGTGAACCGTTTTTAGGCAGCAACCTGAAGGACCTGGCTTCCTTTGCAAATCCAGAATGGGGACAGAAGCCCAGATATTCAATGGTAAAGGCTTGAGGAGAGGAGGACAACTTTTGTTCCCTCAGCTGCACTTGAGCCGTGTAGATTTTCTTTCTGCATTGCACTCAGTCGATGATTTGTAACGGTCGTGTAACTGGGTGCTGATAAGCAGCCATCTCAGAGGGGTTTGTCCTGTGGGCAACACAGAATATGAAAACCTCCTCTTGGGTCAAACTGTCGACACTTCCCATCGTACCAGGCTGAGGAATTCTAGTCCATTTGATCGTTCATGGTTGGGGAGGAGCTCCCTCCGCTTCCCTTGTTCCTTTCTGCAATCCGGGTGCCTCTGCGCCGAGCGTGGAGGAGCCTGTGGTTTGAAAGAGCTCTGAACTGGGAGAGAGAAAGGATTCTGGGGCAGGATTTTGCTGCAGGTGGAGGGCGGCTGAGCAGCAGTGGTGGTGACAGAGATGTAGAAACCTTCGAGACTCTCAATCCTTGAGTCTTGAAGGGCAGCAGAGAGGAAAGTTATAACTTCAGCCCTCGTGCTAGAGTCATCCATTGCGTCTATCAACCTCATCTAAGGTGCTTCTTCCCCTTCCAGCCCTCTCCCAGGGCTGCTGCTTCTCCCCCCAGGGTTTTGCGAAGGTGTTTGGCCTGTCAAAAACTTACTGGTAAGGAAATGTTAGGTAAAACGGGTGATGTGCTTAGATTTAACATCCTCTGCAGCAGTCACAGGAGGCAAGAGCTCAGGACTGGAGTGGCTGATTTTGTAAAAGGGGGAGAACTGTGCCAGGTCGAGAAGCTCACTGAAAACAAACCGGGCAGCTGACGGTGTAAACTGTCTCTGTCTCCTGCGGGCAGGGAATCAACGAAGGAGACAACTAGGAAGCTTAGAGCAAACAGGATATCAGACTTGTAGAAAGAAAAAAGCTGCCGTGCTGGAACGGGGAGGTGAAAGAGAGCGTTGGAAATAAGACGACGTCTTTCAAGAAGTTGAAGTTGTCTGAATGAGGAAAGTGGGGCAAAAAAAGAATGTAAATCCTGCCAGGCTGAAAGTAAAAACCCCGTAAGACGGGACCAGTAAGACAGCTTGAGGAGCAACTTGCAAAAGCATGAAATCCTGTTTATGCATTTTCTGAGCATATCAGACAGAAAGTCTTTCAGGGTCGGTAGCAGATCAAGGGATACAAAAAGCCCTTGGAGCAGATAAAACCCTAAGAGAGGAAAGAAGTGACTGCCTTTGTGTTCACGTTCACTGGGGAGGAATTCAGGGTGGTTTCTCTCCTAGAACCCTGCTTTCTGGGCAGTGTCTCAAATGGAAGCAATAGGACAAAGAAGAGCCTTTAAAAGGGGAAGGAGAGCCTTAAAGGGTCTGGGTGCACTGAGCCTCTCGGAAAGTGAGTGGCACAAAAATGAATAGGACTGGTTTGCTGCTTTTCCCAGTACAGGGTGGGATCAGCCCGTCAAATGAGGAATGGGCTCAAAGCAAAACCACATAAAATTTCCACAGGGGGTTGAAAATGTTCATGGTTTGTGTGGGTTTCGAAAGGAATTGCATAAGCTCGTGGAAAAATAAACGTGCAGCAGGAGTTACTCGATACTCATGCCACCTTTGCCTTAAGAAACGGTGGAGCTGAGCTGATCCCAGATGGCTGGGAAATACTGCCGTGAGCCTGCGCTGCTCTTGGACATCTGACCAGTGCCAGAGACAGGGAGCCTGAGCTAAGTGGTACACCCTGTTATTGCTGGTCAAAACCACCCCGAGAGTTATTTACCAGTAATGGGAATTATTTGATTACTGTTGTTTATATGCACCTTTTTTTTTCTCCTTATCTCCATCTTCTCTCTTTCAGACGCTGTCAGAACAGAATTTTGTGTCTCCAGTGCTCCAATACTGGTTACTCATCTTCTTTTTCTCCCTTTTCAGACAGTTTTTAATCTGTGCTCTGGGTAAAGCAGAGGAAGCCCTGTGGAGCAGGCTAGTGGGATGGGCAAGTTTGCATGGCATAACTCCACCAAGTTCTCCCTTTGGGGTCCGTTATAGTCACAGCCACTTGGCAAAAACCTTCTTGTCCCAGTAGAGGCCGTTCAGGAACCAAGCCCTGACACATGTTTGTTTGGGTAGTGGAAGTGAGGTTTAGAAGCATAACACTACAAATAAACGTGACCTTTCCATACTTCCCTGCTCATCTTCTTTTGGTTTCAGGGATCAGAGGAAACAGTTCCAGACGCTGGTGGAAAACAAATTCTACGAGTGGCTGGTTCAGACGGGGAACCGTCAGCAGCTGGATAGCCTCGTCCCCCCTGCCCTAGGCTCCAAGCAGGCAGCAGGATAGCATTGTGTTCCTGCACAGCAAAAGGAAAGGAAAGGTGAGTAAAGGGCGTGTTTCTCTCGATCCTTCCCTACCTGGAAGAATTGTGCCGTGTTTGTGCGTAGGCAGAGGTGGGAGAAGTGGGAGGCTGTTCAGCAGACGTTCTCCCAGGAGCCTTGCGTTTGGTTTTAGTTCTTCCTTTGCAGGCAGAACCCTCTTTCCAGTTTGAATCTGTTCCCAGTGTCCTCAGCACCTCCCTTGTTCTCCGCAGGTGTTCTGTGTGATTTGTCAGGGACCTCTGCGTGCGGCCGCGGAGGCAGATAGGCATATCCTATTCTGGAGCCCCCAACATAAGAAGGACATGGACCAGTTGGAGAGGGTCCAGAGGAGGGCCACGAAGATGATAAGAGGGCTGGAGCACCTTTCCTATGAGGACAGGCTGAAAGATTTGGGGCTCTTCAGCCTGGAGAAGAGGAGGCTCCGGGGTGACCTTATAGCGGTCTTCCAGTACCTCAAGGGGGCCTACAGGAAAGATGGGGAGAGGCTGTTCAGGAGGGCCTGTTGTGATAGGACAAGGGGTAATGGTTTTAAAATAGAGGGAGGTAGATTCAGGTTGGATATTAGGAAAAAATTTTTTACCATGAGAGTTGTAGAACACTGGAACAGGTTGCCCAGAGAGGTGGTGGATGCTCCATCCCTGGAGACGTTCAAGGCCAGGTTGGACAAGGCCCTGAGCAACCTGATCTAGTTGGAGATATCCCTGTTCCTTGCAGGGGGGTTGGACTAGATGACCTTTGAGGGTCCCTTCCAGCCCTAACCATTCTATGATTCTATGATCCTACGTAATCTGATGGAAAAACCTGTTTGAACAGGGGCTCTCCCAAAGAGGCCGCATGCATTAACGTCTCTACTCAGCTGTCTTGCTTTTGCTTAACAGAATCCAGCAAGGCTTCAAATAATTCTTACTTTGGAGTGTCTTTTCCCTAATAGAAGTGGTTTAGGAGCTGGCTACAAGCCCTTATCATATTTTTCCACCATTGCGTGTTTCAAACCATTAGAAAGTTGTGGTTTTTTTTCCTTTTCTTTAGTCTTTGAGTTGCTTTTTCTTTGCAAGCGTTAGGAGTAAAATTTGCTCCTCTCACTTTGTTCCAGAGTCCTGGGAACAGGCAGCGATGCGCTGAAACCAGTTCTCATTAAGAATTTGTGGCCATCCTGACCCGAACACCCTCGATGTGGATCTGAATGCCAGCCTCGGTGTGGATTGGACTGTCTTGTCTGGTTTAGGATTTCTAATCGCCGCTGCTTTCCCAGGAATGTGCCCTAACCATTCTGCAGGTAGCTGAGAAAGTGCGTGTCACTAGAGGATGATGAAGTATGCCCTGTTGCAGATGCTTTAGAGGCTGTCATCATGGTTGGTACCCATGGTGTGAAAGTATCCAGCAAAGGAACCCTTCCTGGTGCCAAGCTGGACGCGGGGCCCCGGGTGTCACGTGCATCTTCCCGGTACGAGCCAGCCGCGCTGTTTTTATAGATGTGAAAAAGAAACGTTTGCTTTTTCTATGAATGAAACTCAATGGATTTTTTTATATGAAGATGGCACTTAAGCAATGTGATTTTATGGAATTAACTTGAGTAGACGTTTGCGTGGTTCTGACAAATGTCAATAAAACAGAGTTCTCGGGTAAGCCTGGCGTGTGTCCTGGGGAAAAGGTTTTACCTGTACGGTGGGCGTTAGAGGGACACAACATCTTTGCTGCTTAATGAAATGTGAACCCCTCAGCTGAGGGAGAAGTGCTGGTTTGTGAACAGCCGTGGAGTCGGAGGTTTTGGAGCCTGCCCTAGCGCAGCATTTTGATAAAAACACCGTTTCCTGCCTTTAATATTTCTTGCAAAGAGTATCGACTGTCTTGCAATATGTAATATTTAATCATATTTCTTGCAAAGAGTATCAAAAGAGTGCCATTCTCGTGTGCTGGCAGAACCTGTCTTGGTGAGACGTGCCCGTAGCTGAGCTCCTAAATTAGCCAGGCAAAACGGGCACGGGCATCATGTGGGTGGCCGAATGCAGCAGCTCTGTGTGACTTGTGAAGAGTTACCCATGCTGAGAGTGAGAGCAAGGCAGGGGCGTTCAGTGCTCCAGTGTACCCTCTGGAGAGGGACGTTTGACAAGGGTGTGTAGTGATAGGACACGGCGTAACAGCTTTAAACTGAAAGAGGGGAGATTTAGATTGGATATAAGGAAGAAATTCTTCCCTCTGAGGGTGGTGAGGCACTGGAACAGGTTGCCCAGAGAAGCTGTGGCTGCCCCATCCCTGGAAGTGTTCAAGGCCAGGTTGGATGGGGCTTTGAGCAACCTGGTGTAGTGGAGGGTGTCCCTGTCCATGGCAGGGGGGTTGGAACTGGATGATCTTTGAGGTCCCTTTCAAACCCAAACCATTCTATGGTTCTGTGCACACGACTGTCACATTGCTAGAATTTTTCCGAAGGTCTCTCGTGGCTCCTGGGGCGGCAGGTCCTGCGACGCAAGGGGAGTTTATTACATTGAACCAACTTTTAAAGGAGGGATGTTCAGAGCGATTGCAGCGGAGCTTCGAGTTGTTCTCGTGAACCTACTGAGTTACCTTTCGATGGGACCTGGGTTGTGGTTGAACTCTGCTCTTCAGAAGACAACATTTAAATAAAAAAAAAACCCAAACAAGTAAGTGGCCTCACAGCTTTCTAGCAGTAAGAGCAACAGCACTGGGCGATTCAAGACACCCAAAAAGGGGAGGCGACGAGCTGCTGCTGAGCATGCCTGTCTCGGCGTGGATGGGGTGGCACGCAGAGCTGCTGGTGCCAGACTGCTTGTCCTGACAGATTTGAAAGAGGACCTGTGCGTTTCAGGCGCCGCTGTGCCAAATTCGTTTCCCTTTGTTTCGCTAAGCCTTCGGGCTGCTGCAGTGAATAGCTGCAGAGGTGGTTTTTACAGAAAGCACTGGTGGAGGGGGGGGTGTGGGCGGACAGAAGCCAGCAATCCTCACCCCCCCCTGCTCGGTGGGCCGGGAGCGTGGCTAAAAGAACAACTTGCTGGAACCACAGGCAGTGGTGTGAGAGTTTCGAGTTGAATTTGCGACGCTGGAGGATTTGCCGCGCGGATGTTTTCCACTTGGAGCTTTTGGTGCAGAGGCTCTTTGCAAGCCCATGGTGTCTGCTCCGAGCACGCGTTCGCCGCTTCCCAGCTGCGTCCTCCACCACGTGGGAACGTCCTCTGACAAATATTGTGTCTCTTCCTTACAAAGGAGGTGGGCTTTTGGAGCTGCCCAGGATGCCTTCTTGTTTAACGTGCTCAAAAGGGAGGGAGCAGCCAAATCGCTCGCTGTCTTCCAGGACTTGGCAGGGGGCTGCGTGTTTTGAGTGCGTTTGGCAGAGTTTTGGTGTTCTGACTCAGCAAATGGTAACAAAGGAAGGATGGTGAAGCCTTTCTTTATTCCATAATCCTGTGTGCTTTTCTGGAAACCGAGTGTAGCCTCAGAATCACTGACTCAATTTTTGGATCCTATTCTCATGACAAAGCGGCTGTCTGGTTTCAAACAAGCCCGTTATAAAAAGGGTGCCTCAGGTCCTGGCTGTTTGTAACAGCTTCTGACGTTCCTCCAGCACTGGGGAGCTTGGCTGGAACGGAAAATGTCCAGAGCTGGAGCCAAGGTAAGTTTATTTGCAGACTACTCGTGATTGTTGGCTAGGAGTACAGAATTTAACAGGGGTAAGTGGTGGAGAAACTTTGGTTTCTTTGTTCTTCTGATGGCTTCCCCCTCTGTCTGTCTGTCGGCAAGAGGAGGTGTTGAAATCCCTCCTCAAGTGGAGGGAAGCTGGAGCTGAGCCCTCCCTAGTCTTTTCCCAGATCTTGGCTGTTTCCTCTAGGTGTGGCTCTGCGAGAGGATGGAGTCGAACACAAGTGACTGGTGAGGGGACGTTTTAAAATGCACCAGGACCTGATGCCTTCTAAATTGACAGTGGAGACTGCTGTGCCAGCGGCGAACGCCTCGAGCTGCGTTCGCAGCGCAGAGTCTCGGGGGAGGCTTCCCTTACCGGGCCCGGCGCCAGCCACCACATCCCCCTTCCGTGGTGGAGCAGAGGCTGTGCTGCGACAGAAGGGCGCCTGAATGATGACCATCACACCAAAGGCATTCCCTGAAGAACGTGAACCGGCCTCGTGATTTGGTGGAATGGGCAGGGATGAACTTAAACTGGAGAAGGAGGTTGATCAGAAAGCTCAACCTCAGCTAGAGTGCCGTGCATCAGGTGGGGATCCAGCTGTAATGCTGGGATCTTCAGCCTTGAAGTTAGCAGAGCTGGACTGGTTGGTCATGTAGACCTTGTTGCTGGGTTGGGACCGGGCAGGGATAAACAGCTGGGTAGGAAGGGAGAGAACTTTGGGCTAGTGGCCAGTTTCTCCTGCGAAATGTTAAACAACTGTTAAGAGGCTGTGGACAGACCGTGCATCTTCCCGTTGTGTGAGTGTTGCTTTTGGGTTACGTTCCTTTTGACCCATGGAGACTGTAAGACCCAAGGGGGCGGAGGGCTCGGAAGCAGAGTGGTTTCGCAGGCACTGGCTGATGCTGTGGAAGATCTGGATTCAGTCTCTGCTCCCCTGCACCTTTTGTCTGTGGGCTCAAAGCAATTTGACTATTTGTGAGCAGTCGTTAGAAACCGAGGACGGCGTGCTGCTGGCTTCTGGCCCGGTGGCTGTCAGACTGCAGCGGGACAGCCTTTAGGTAACCTGTGCATAAAGAAGGTGCTGGGGTAATGTAACTGGTTCCTGCTTGAGCCTCGTGTCTGCTTAAAGAGAGTTGAACACCTACTGCCTTCACCCCGTGCTCAGAGCCGTGTCCCCTGGGACCGTGCTACAGGGAATTTGTTGATTATGTGGTGCAGCAAAACGTCCGAGAAGAGTTAAGTCAGTGAAAGAGTGCAAATCTCATCTTTTCTCTATGCCATGCTCTTGCCTGGCACATTCCAGGGAGAAGAATAGGGCAAAGGAGGGAATTAAACACTGGAATGTGTTTCTAGTGACCCTAGAAAGCGGTCACTGCCCCCGTGCTGCTTTCTTAGAAGCAGTGGGCACTACTGGTTGTTGCTTACAGTTATTGTTCACGAGTTTCCTTCTAACAGAGCTGCTGTTGGGAAGAAATGCGATAACTGCTATGAGGTGGCCAAGGGGGTAAGAGTTTTACGGTCCCGTAAGGAAGATCTGCTATGGCAAATGTGTTATCTGCCAGGTAAGCCCCCCCAAAAAGCAAAGTTTGGGCAGTGAGCGGTGAACGGGTGAGTGCTGTAAGCAGAGCAACTTCCTGGATTTGCTAAAGGAAGGTGATTTGCTTCGGAGGAAGATGCGACCGAAACGAACGGGCGAATCTGGGATTGAAATCTGTAATTCTCCCGTCGTTGTGCTGCGGGTGAGAAACATCAGTCTGCTCGGTTTGTGCCTGAATCGTTGGAGGAAGACGGAGGAGCGCCGAGTGTGAAGGTCTGAAATGAATGGAGGGTGTTTGCAAAAAGCTGTGGTGGAGAATGGGTGGGCAGGAGACCTCTCCTTAAGTCTTCTCCAAAATGGTCCCAGAATAAAACAGCCAACGACGCTTTTGGTTGTTCGCTGTTCTGTGGGAATGGCCAGACCCTTGACGTGCTCTCGGATTTCTTTGGCTTTGTGGCTTTCTAAGTACAGGGAAAATGTCCTCCTAGGAGCGCTGAGTAGCTTTGGCAGATTGAGGTTCAGTTGTGTCCCTGACGGGGAAGGAACATCAAATGAGCTTTTCTGTTACAAAATTAAAGGCCAGTTTAACCAACTTCGCGCACCGTTGCTGTGATGGGGCATCGCAAGAGGAGCTGGTTCTGCTGGAGGCCAGCTGCAAAATCAAAGCAGCTCCTGTGGAGCCAGGACCAGAGGTTGTGGAGACCCGTTCTCTTTCCCACTGCCAACCGCCCTGCTGTGAGGCAGGAGGAGACATCACAGAATCATGGAATGGTTTGGGTTGGAAGGGACTTCAAAGATCATCTAGTTCCAACTGCCCTGCCATGGGCAGGGACACCTTCTGCTAGACCAGGTTGCTCAAAACCCACATCCAGCCTGGCCTTGAACACTTCCAGGGATGGGACATCAACAACTTCTGTGGGCAATCTAACATCCCTCTGCCCAGGTGAGCTGCTGCCTGCACGGAGACCCGACCCGACCTGTGCACTTACAGATGTTGTGTAGGGTTCAT